TGTCAGCAAGGGAATTGGATTGATGAGAATGTGCTGAATTGTCAGCAAGGGGATTGGGTTGATGAGAATGTGCTGAATTATCAGCAAGGGGATTGGGTTGATGAGAATGAGCTGAATTGTCAGCAAGGGGATTGGGTTGATGAGAATGTGCTGAATTATCAGCGAGTGGATTGGGTTGATGAGAATGAGCTGAATTGTCAGCAAGGGGATTGGGTTGATGAGAATGTGGAATTTTGACAGTTGATGGGGGAGGTTGTGGGTTAAGATCTCTTCTATTTCGTGGATTGGTGTATGATTTCAAACGATTTGCATGTATGAAAGACTTAATCTCTTTGTGAGTACTATAACGGCGCAGTTTGTAGGTATGATTGAGCCCTGTATCTACAATGTAGTATGGCCTGTCCCAAGGGTTGTGTAGTTTTGGTGACAAGCCCTGGGGTACTTTAGGGGAATGTAACATTAACAAATCTTGAAGTTGAAATTTTGGAATTGTTGCCTTTTTGTCATGATGTTGCTTTTGCTTTGCTCTGGCCTCAGTAATGTTTTTATTGGCTGTTTGTCTGACAAATTTAAGATGATCTAACAGTTGGGTGACATGAGATTTGGCATCTCTGTTAAGACCACTCTTTGGAATAAGAGCAGTGTCAAATGGTAAATTCATTTCTTTTCCAAAAAGAATGTGGTAAGGGGAAAGGTCAGAGGCTTGTGTTGATGGGGACATCCTAAATGCCATAAGAACTCCTGGGAGGAACTCTGTCCAGTTTTGTTGATTTTTATCAACATAAGCCTTCAAGCATTGAGCTAAAGTACTATTCATGCACTCACATGTAGAGTTAGTCTGTGGATGACATGAACTTGTAAAGTGTCTAGTTACCTGAAAAAATTTCACACACAGCTGTAACAAGTTTGCTCATGAAATTCTGTCCTCTATCACTGACTATTGAACTTGGAGCACCATATCTGGCAAATATTTCTGAGTACAAAACTTTAGCTATTTCTTTTGAATCTTGTGTCTTGAGGGGAAACGCCTCGGGCCATTTACTGAAAGAATCAACCACCAGTAGAATATATTTGTAGCCTTCCTTTGTTGTTGTGATGGGTCCTAAAATGTCCATATGAAGTCGTGAAAATGTATCAGTGATGGGCATTGTTGTGAGTGGGGCTTGTTTATTGTGTGTTGATTTCTTTATCCTCTGACATGTATCACAAGACCTTATATAATCAACTGTGTTCTGGAACATCTTAGGCCAATAATATTTCAGCTGTATGGCTTTGTAAGTTCTATCAAACCCTAAATGAGCACCACCAGCTTGGTAATCATGATAAGACCTAAGTACATCATTTCTAAGACACCTGGGGACTGCAAGCTGACGAAGGGGAACTTTCTGGGTATCTCTTTTTGAGGATGGTATATATAAGTGATAAAGAGTATCATCTAGCAAAACATACTGATTTGACAAAGACACTGTTTTGACTGCGTCAGATTTGATAGCAGGAAGATCACCTGTAGCTAAGTATTTGTATATAGCACTAAAGTCAGGACACTCAGACTGAAGTTTGTCTACTCTTTCAATGTCATTTGAATGTGTAACTTCTGTCACCTGAGCAGTTGGTGTTTCAGCATTACATGTGTATAAAAATGTGACCTGTTGAGGTGAGCATTCATTTTGTTGATCTACAGAAGTTATTGGATGTGTGTCCATGTCATTGTTTAATTGGTCAGTACAGGGTGGGTATGGTCTTCTGGAAAGAGCATCGGCTACCTCATTGTTTTTACCTGACTTGTAAACAACTTCATAATCATAGCCCTGTAGTAGCACAGCCCATCTAGCTAGCCTACCTGTAGACTCTGGTTTGATTTCTTTCATCCATTTGAGAGCACTATGGTCAGTGTATTTTAAATCCTGCCAGGTATACATGATAACTTTTTATGCCATCTACAATAGCAAGGCCTTCTCTCTCTGAAACATTATATTTTCTCTCATGCTTGTTAAGAGAGCGACCACCATATGCAATGACACGCTCACGGTTACAGGAGTTAAGCTGACCTAAGACATACCCTATGGCTTCACCTGAAGCATCTGTTGTCAAAATGAAAGGCTTTGTGTGATCTGGGTAAGCAAGCACTGGTGGGGAGGTAAGAGCTTGCTTTAATTGATCAAATGACTTTTGACAAGCCTGTGACCACTCAAACTTGTCATCTTTCTGTGTGAGCTTGTTCAGTGGTGCTGTTATTTTACTATAGTTTTGAACACATTTTCTATAGTAATTACAAAGTCCTAAAAATGACCTAACCTGTTTCTGGGTTTTTGGGACAGGATAAGAACTTACAGCATCTGTTTTGGAAGTGTCAACCTCAATACCGTCCTTAGAAATCACATGACCAAGATATTTGACCCTGTGCTGAGCAAATGAGCACTTGCTGGGTTTCAGAGTTAGATTTGCCTGCTCTAGTCTATCAAAGATCTCTTGTAAGTTCTTTAGATGTGTCTCGAATGTACGTGAGAACACTAATATATCATCAACATACACGAGACAGGATTTCCAATTCAATCCTTTTAGAACTTTGCACGTCAGAGATTGGAAACTTGCAGGAGCATTAAATAGTCCGAATGGCATTCGTTTCCACTGATAGACACCGACAGGGGTAACAAAAGCTGATTTATGGGCAGTTTCAGGGTCCATGGGAATTTGCCAGAACCCTGAGGCAAGGTCAAGTGTGGAAAAGTACTGAGCTCTAGATTCTCCAATAGAGTCAAATACATCTTCAAGACGAGGTAGAGGGAAAGTGTACTGTTTTGTGACGGCATTAAGTTTCCTGTAATCAACAGCAAAACGTAACTGGCCGTTTTTCTTTTTCACCATGACAACAGGACTTTGCCACATTGATGTAGATTCAGTAATGATGTCATTTTCAAGCATTTCTTGTATTTGTCTTTCTGTTTCAGATTTAACTGCAGGGGCTTGACGATAAAATCTCTGTCTGATCGGAAGCTGATCACCTGTGTCAATGGTGTGTGTATGTTGGTTTGTGTGGCCTAACTCTGATAGGTCATTGGCAAAGACTTTCCTGTTTTGATTGAGAAATGCTTGTAGTGTTTGTTTTTGTTCCTTTGAGAGGTCTGAATCTTTTAGATCAAAGGGAATTTCTGTAAGTGTTTCTGTTTGTTTGTGTTCCTGTTTTCTTATGTAATGGAGTGTCAAGGGACATCACAATGTCAAGATCTTTATCCATGACTGATACTGAACCTATAACCTTACTTGAAAAAAGTACAATCTTCTTTTCAGATGGGTTCATGATTTGAACAAAACATGTGTGATCTGGTTGTATCACTGATACACATTTAGCTCCAACAAGGCCTAAAGAAGGTAACTGTGGTAAAGGTTCAAATAGAATTTGTGAGTTTACTGGTAGTCCTGGTATCTTGACTTGTTGAGTGATAAAGGAGGGAGAACTGATCGAGACCTTGTCCTAGCTAAAGATACCTCGGTATTGATTGATAGCACTTGTTCTGAGGTTGTTTCCTTCAGATATAAAGTTTTGTTTTTAATGTTAAAGACTGCCTCATGTTTATCCAAAAAGTCTAAGCCTAAAATCAATGGAAGATGGAACTTTTCAAAAACATGAAAATCAACACTAAATACACTACCTCCAATGGTGACAGGGATGGTAATTGTACCAAGACTACGGTGTGACTCGCCTCCTGCAACTACAGCAGTTATAGCTGAACACTGTTTAATTTGTGTAGATTTGTTACCTTGGAAACGAGTTAAAAACGATAATGTAACACAGGAGATAGTAGCTCCTGTATCAACCAGAGCTTTAACTGGTGAGTTGTATATCTCTACACTAACAGAATTTCTTTCAACAGGAGTTACAAGATTAACTATTTCTTCAGGTACTGATTTGTTGGGTGGTTGAGTTGGGGCTGGTTGTGGGTTTGTTTGTTCTGAAGAAAACCTGTTAATCTGGACACCTGTGATGGAAAGGTCATAGTTAGTCTGGTTGTGCCTATCCTTGTTGCCAGGGATAGGCACGCATCCCTAATGGATATTTGTATTTTGTGCAGGAGTGAAGGTGGGTGGTTGATTAAATTTCCGGCGCCTACAAACATCTACAAAATGATGCCAAATTTTACAGTAGGAGCATTGTGTATTGTAAGCCGGACATGAAAAACGCCTTTGGCATGACTTACCGCATCCTTGGCATGGCCCTCTGTTGATAAATCTTGGCTGCTGCTGTGGCTGGAATGGCTGGTGTTGGAACTGCTGCTGCTGCTGCTGCTGTGGTTGGAAAGACTGGTATGGCTGTTGGAGGTGGAATGGTTGTTGTTGTGGCTGGTATTGCTGCTGGAGGTGAAAATGTTGCTGCTGAGGCTGGTATGGCTGCTGGAGGTGGAATTGTTGCTGCTGCTGTGGTTGGAAAGGTTGTGACTCGTGCTGCTTTTGAAAAGTTTTGAACTGGTGCTGACTCTTTCCAGGGTGTTTTGCAGCAATAGCGGACACCTCTTGCCGAACACCTTCTAACTTCTCTTTGAAGTCAGTTTGGAGTTTAGTGATGATTTCATCACACAGTTTTGACACTGACACCATGTTGATATTGTCTGAGTCAGAGCAGCACGCCAGCTCTTCTTTTGCTAAATCCACATAGTGTCGCAAATCCATAAACGTGGTGGGTTCTTTTCCAAGCACCTTGCTTTTGATCTTACTGTGCAGGCCATTCATTGCGACCTGCACTTTAGAGCACTCTGGCAAGTTGTGCCCAAGGGCCAGTTTCTCTATTCTCTCTAGATAACATTCTCATCTGGTTGCTGTTTGGCGCCAAAAAACTTGTTATCGGATGCTTTTTGTCAAAATCTGGTGATGAACAGTTCTTTAAACTTGATGAAGTCTGTCTTGTCCTCACCAGACAACCCTTGTAGCCACAATGCTGCGGCCCCTTCCATGTTGAAGGACATGGCAGCCATTGTTCTGGCATCGGACAGGTTATGGAAGTCCTGCCACGACTGTAAGGTTGACAACCATATCAATGGAGATTCAGACCCATTATACTTCTTAAGGTTAATCCCTCCTGAAGACATTTTACTTGAAATTAGCTCTGGTGGCGGTGGAGGTAAAAAGTCCTCCACGAGGTCCACAATTTGCTGTTCAGGTTGTTGTTCAGGGTGTGGTGCGGGATGTTGTTTAAGTTGTGGTTCAGCTTGTTGTACAAGTTGTGGTTCAGGTTGTTGTTCAAGTTGTGGTTCAGGCTGTGGTTCAGGTGGTTGTTCAGGTTGTGGTTCAGGGTGGGGTTCAGGTTGTTGTTCCCTTGAAGCCGGCTGTTCTTTTGACGCTCTGGTCCTACCACTGATGTAATCGACAGGTACTGATTTTCTGTATCCAGGCATCAAGATCTTAGGGATCTCCACCAATCTTTAACGTCGTTTTGTGTGTTGTTGGAAGGTTATTTTTGTTTTTGTTGGAATCTGAAAAGATTATGGGGACAGCCTGTTAAGTTCGTTATTCTTTATTGGCGTCATAGCTTCCAGTCACCAGTGTGACGCGATACTACCAAACTTACTCAGGAGTCTCCATCAATTAGATTGGTCAGATCTTGGGAACTTTCAAGTTGATTGGTCAAGACATAGGCTGGGTTCGGACAAAAAGTGAAAAAACATCTTTCTAGCAGGTTTGTTACATAAGCCTACCTGAGTCCTAATTGACTGTGACACGGCCGATAATTCTTTAACAAAGGACGAACGATTGAATAAAGCCTATACCTGAGTTCTTAATTGGTATGACAGCTGGGATTAACAAGATCACATAGACTGGCCGCAGTGAACAAGTGACTGGACTGTAAGACTGTAACAGAGCCCTACGAGTGTCACGCTTAGTTTTATCGTTTACTGTGTCTGAAGTTAATGGCAGACATCGATCACAGCTGTTTTTCATATGTTATAGTACAGTCAACAAAATAATCATAAAAATTAGACAAGTGAGGTGTAAGAAAAAAGAACGGAAAAATAGCGATGGACTCGAAACAAAGAAATATAATATTTCTCAATGATATCACTATGACGACCGCAAAACATCCCCATACTTTTCATCAACCTGCATGTTTTGAAACTTGTGTTACGAAGTTTGGGACGCAGGGATGTTGCTATCCAGAAATGGAAAATTCATAATAGGTAAATTGAAATCATCACGCTTATCAAACAGCTTGGTGGAAAGCTGTCCATACTGGTTTCGTGGTAGGAAAAGATCGAGGTAAGTGCTTGATGTAGAAGAGTCTGATGAATCTACGATGGACTTCAATTTTCTTGTCATTTAAAGACAATAATTCATCAATATACCTGTAAGTGAAATTGAATTATTTTTATTCTAAAGAAGATGACGTGCATATATTTATTGTACAAGTATTAAAAATATATAACTAAGACTTCAAGAGTAAAGCTACATGTAGCAGTCCTGAAAACTGTCAATCCGGACGATTTTAGCAGGGAACGGAGGTGTTTGGACTATCGACAGTCCATTGTGATAAAGTCTGGCGAATAACAAAAAATGTAAAACTGGTTATATTCACTTAGTCAGTCTGGTGTCAACATTTTCCCGTCTAATCACCTCTCAATAACAAAAAGACTAAAAGTTACCACACCTGGCTGGTAGCTTCCTGGCCTGAATACCAACAACGTTCATGACCCATAATTAAGGTCGGAGGAGCCGAATTTGTAAAAACGCTGAAACCGATAGACCGGAGCAAAGTTTTGGGAAAAGAAGTGTCATTGCCATATATGTATTCAAGGTAAAATGCGTTAAATTCCTTAAAGCAGAAACGATATTTTTCTCAACTAAAATACCTAGAATTAAGATTTTTGACTTGTAGGTTTCTTGGTGGGGTGAATTACAACAAGTTTGCAAAAGGAGATGACCTTGACCCAAATTCAAAGCCACAGATGTCAAATATCTCGAAACGCTAAAACGTCTTATTCTAATTAATTAGAATTACAGGATTTTTGGTTATATGATGCACCCCATCTTCGATACTCCAGAGGTTACGATTACTTTCGATCTCTATATCCCTGGAACATGTCGTGGCGAAATTGAAGGCTACATGTGTGACACTTAGTGGACAAAACGAAAAGACTAGGTTGGCCCTTTAATTTACATCAAACGAATCTCGAGGTCGCATAACGGTATATTGTAATGGCTTAGAAGCTGGGTGTCGCTCCTTTAAAGTATTCCTTAGGAGCGTATCAGCCTGTGATTGGTCAGTCTTTTTTCTCGCCTAGAACCAATCAAATTGGTTCTGGTCAAAACAATCTAAGAATGGAACTAGTGCTGCTTGTCTAACGTTACATACAAAAAAATCATAATACAATTGATTATTGATCTTTTAACGTGATCACATTTTTAAAAAAGTTCTTTCATTCTAGATTTAACTGATTGGAATAATTTAAATGATGATTTGATGACAGCTGCTGAGTACTGTTTTGTACTGTAGAGTGTATTCCGAAATCGTAATCAAAACGCATAAGGCCCACTCAAATTTTAGTACAAAATGTAAACATCCGGTCTTGTATTCCGGCGGGGAACTCGAAAGTCCGCTCTTGAATGTAACGTTATATTGGTTAGAAATGGATGAAATGCGAAAGAAGGTAACATTTATGATATATCTATGTAAAAGATACAGTATGTTTTTACACTTTTTTTTCGAGTGGAATTGTTGTCAGTCTTGGGAAGATAAGATATTAATCATCATAATACAGTCGTTTTCCCGGAAAGCTGACTGCGATTTCATTCGGTAACGTTAAGCCTTCAATACTGTATACACGTTGACTAACTACAAAGTCTAGTGTAACGATCGATAAAGTGTTTTCCTACTACTACGCGGCCTGTACTGATTCAGCTATACTAGAATAAGGGTAGGCCCTATAAATTACTGAATTATGAATCTGACTGGTACGGTTTTACCAGTTGTATTGTCTCCCCTCTACCGCAAATTACTCTGTAGGCATGAAAGGCCATATGCCATAGGCAAACTCTTTCAAAGATGATGAGATTAGTCAGTAGGTGCCGAGGTATGAGATAAGTCTTACCTCAGATTAGATAGATTACAAAACATGTTATTAGATTATTAAAATCTGGAGAATCAAACACAACAGACTGGTTCTGATGAAGTCAAAGTTTTAGGGCGAAATCGGTAGACAATACCAAATAAATAAATATTAATAACCTGTTGTGATTGATTCTCCAGATTTTAGCTATCACATCAATCATCTGCATACCCTCTTGTATCTAGGCGGGAGGTATAGGATCCATCTACCCTTCATTTAACAGTACACGACATTGGCTCTACTACCCACCCTTAGTTTGTTTATTGATCCATAACTATTTATTTCCCAGAGAAACAACTTCAACATGTACGTTTGTATCACCTACATATGTATTTTGTATTTTCAGCATCGCAGATTAAGATTATTGTCTTTGTAAAAGGTGAAAATGGCCATTCTTTGTTTCACTGACTCTGCTAGGATTAATAGGATTAAAACCCAGGACCTCTGACTTTTGTGTCTTAACACTCAACTTATCAATCAAAAGATAAGTTTTCTCTAGCCAATCAGTATATTGCAGCTATTCTTCTACCAGGGTTTTAAAATAGGTTTTTTTTTTTAAAGTTGAATCTCCTTTAAGATAACCAGTAATATCCTTTAATAATCTCTGTAAAATATGGTTGATACTGATTGTGAAAACAATAACATTATGTATATCAAAAAGTTCTATCACACATTTTGATAACATTTAGTTGGAACAATGATATATTTTACAGAAAATAGCACAAAAATTGAGCTTGGAATACCACATGAAGTCAAGATTTCTTTCGAATCTCAAGGAAGGAGTTTGTACTATCAAGAAGGAAATTTATAGAAGCTTAGGACAAGAATGGTAAGGTGTTTTTCTAAAGGTTTTGACTTGTCCATAGATTTGTGATTGTCCTGCTGCCAGCTACATGGTGTATATAATTACAAGATGTTTTTTAAGTGTAAAAGCCTTGGTCACTTGAGTAGTACATACATGAATGTATTACTGCCATCACTTTAACAATAAAGGAACATCACCCCTAATCTTCTATCTAAAATGATCTTCATTCATATTCATTTCAATGATTCTGCCTTTTTGGTCTCAGATTCTATACCTGTGCATTCTTTTTATGTGGAAACAATTCCCTGACCAGGCCAATGTATTTGACCGAAGGTCCAATCTATAGCCTAGCCAGTCTATCTGCACTTTGTAAACAAACATGGTTGATAAAGAAACTGGTTAACTGTTTGATATGGACAATGCATAATTATATATTATACAAATTTAATTATTTGTTTATACACACAAATATGAAAACTTACAAATGTAATGACATGTTTCACATCCCGAAAGGGATATATTTGTTTTCATTTTGTATAAGGCTTATAAAACAAATTAGTTCCAGTTATATGAGAGATAATAGTATATGATGTTTCCTACAGCAGCTGGTGTTTACTGTATATTAGGCCACTACATCGAAAAAATTGTAGATTTGTTTCATAAACATCACATCAATAAAAATTCCTGTAAGATCCTATATATATTGTAATACCTTGTCAAGTAGCTAATATGATTCAAAGAAAAAAATAATTGAATTGAACACATTTAATTTATTACACATTTTGATGGAAAATAGATTACACTTTGTATATTTATAAATGATGTATGAAGTTCAGCAGTCAGTGTTTTATGTATAGTCATGTGTTCCTTCCGATCGTTCAGTAGTCTGGTAGGCAGTGTGAACAGAGTTCCATCCCTTGTGGAAGCTGTTTGCTGGAGAGAGAAGCTGCACCAGGTGGCAGGACAACTTCAGAATGTATACTTGGATGACAGTCCAGAACACAGGTAGGACATATACATAAATTTCCAATCAGTCCTCAGTAACTAAGAGAATTATACCTCAATGCCTCAATGATAAGTATCTTTTAACTGACAAAAGACAATGTCTAGAACAACATCTTTTCTAACTGATTGTTAGTATAAATAAAAGTAGAAAGGATGAGGCACAACACCCATGGATCCGCTGTGCATTGATTGTTAGTATGTTTATTTTTCACCTTCTAGTCGGCTGAAGCAGTTACAGAGACATGTACAGTTGTCTTTGATCAATACTTCCACTCAGGATACAGAGGTGTATGAGTTGGTGACTGTTATTGCTGGTATGTAACTTAATATCACCTATGTATAAGTTCAGGATAGTGTTACCACATCAGAAACATATTTCTCATTTTATACATGTTGGACTATAGACTCTACTGCAAAAAAAGTTGTTGACATGTCAGCATGTGGCATTCTTAGGTCATCTGACCCATAGGGTCATAATGACCTA